AGGCTGAGAGATGGATGCGAGGGGGCTGTCAGTTTGGAGGTGGGCTTCTCAGGAAGTGTCCAAACAGGGAGACGGAGAGACAGCCGCTGCTGACGCTGCATTTGGGGATGGTCTCTGGAGCCCCTCTGCCAATCCCCCTCCAAAAAAGAAAGTCAGGGTCTCAGAAAGAGAATCCGGGCTGAAATGAGAAACAGCCACTGGACGGTCCGTATGATGAGGAGAAGAAAAAACCCACATTATACGTATAACGTAAAATAGCCCTACTCTGGAGATGGCAGTACCGCCGGGGAAGCTGCAGTGGGGGGCTCCTGCTCTCTTCCAGAACCTGGGCAGTTGCTCTGGGCCCAGGGCCCTGCCTAACCCGGCCGCTGTCCTTCAGAGACTGATGACAGGACAGCCCAGCCAAGCTGACCCGGTGACTGATCGAAGGTCCCAGAGCGGGACTGGGGATGTCTGGGGGGTGGGGCCGGAACCGTCTGAGGCTCGGGAGCTGGGGAGGGGACCTCCAAGCCCGGGGTCCAGCTCAGTTCCCTCTGGGGTTCCTTTCTGATTGTCTAGCCCAAGGTGGGCTCTGGACCCAGAACTTGGCCAGAACCTCCATCTGTGCACGGGGGACCCCAGAGACCCTGCTCTGCTCGTTCAAACAGGGTCCCTCCCCACGTCCACCCGCCTGGCTGACAGGGAGGCGGTCTGCATGACCGCTGAGGCCTGGTTGCTCTTTTCTGCAGCATGGACTCGACCCCAGGGCTAGGCTGGGGAGGCCTTCCCAGGAGTGGGGTCCAGCCTCTCTCTGGGGGATGAATGATGGGAGGGTAACAGGCTTGTAGGGGATGAGGTTTGCCATGTCAGTTTCATAACATGTCAGAAAAACACCACACTCTACCCCTACCCCAGGGGGGTGATACCAGCGGTGGCCTGGGGTCCTGGCGTTCCTGTCCTACTCGTTCTGTAGCAAGAATACCCTACAGGGACCCTGTTGCTTTCCCAAGAAACAGGAAACAACCCCAAAGCAACACACTGCCTGCTCGGCTTAAAAAACGTCCGTCCTCGGGAAGAGGGGCTGAAGAAATGGGCAATGTGGAGTTGGGGTGAGGAGGCGTGCCCGCCGGCTGGCCTGGCTGCCGGAAGCCCTGGGGCTCCTGGGGTGGGGGTTGTGGAACCCAGGGCACTAGCAAAGCCTCCAGAGAGGGGCCGCGGCAGGGATGACGGCACCCACAGCCTCTGTTGCTGGTGGCTTGTCACCTCCCTGGGGAAGAAGTTTGCATGAGAAAATAAAGACCAGACACCCACTACATCTGAACCACCACCAGGCACGTGGAGTTGGCGTTAGCTCTCCGGCCAGGGGGTGGGGTGAGGGGCGTGAAAATACTTCAGGGCAAGCTCATGGCAGGCTGAGGCCACAGCCCTGGTCTCTCCGCCTGTCTGTCCCCTGGAGCTGGCTACAGGCGTCTTTTTATTGGAGGAGAAAGGTGTGCAGTAGTGGATCAAACAGCGCTGGCTCGACACCTACGCCCACACCCTGCTCTTGGAACGGTAGTAAGGTCTTAGTGAGTGACAGGCAGTGGGGACACTCTGTCCCCAAACGAAATGCTTGGAGGGTCTGGGTGAGGGCTGGGATGGCGAAAGGGGGGATTCTTCCTTTTCCAGCTCAGGGTGGAGAACCCAGCCCTTGGGTTCTCCCGCCTGGTCTCCCCAGCAACTGCCAAGCTCCTGTCTCAGCTATGGTCGAGTTAGAAGCAAATGAAATCGGAATTAAAAAAAAAAAAAAGCAAAGGAAGGAAGAAAAATGCAGGAAAATAAAATCAAGGAAAGACAAGTGTGATCAGCCTCTGTCCACAGCCCCTGCGCCCCGTGGACCCCACCGCAGCCTCCACCTGCCAAGCCCCAATAATGACGAGCTAGACTTTAAGATACAGACGGACGGATATTGCATATATTGGTTATGAGTTTTTTTTTGTTTGTTTCTCACCAGATACCGTTAATATTCACAGCTGGAAGACGTACAACAGGGAGCTGGGGGCCAGGGGACAGCAGGAGAGAAATGCCACCACGGGTGGTCCCCAGGGAGGGGGCGATGGGAGAAGTGGGTGCTTTGGCAAGAAGGATGAGGGTGTGCAGAGGGAGGGAGGGGACCCTGAGCCTGTGCTGAGGGGTGGGGGCAGGGGTTCTGGCTGTCTGCTCACAGGCACCCCAGAGGGGTCGCCCCATGGGGGGACCACCTGGGGCCAGCACGTGGCGTCTTGGGGGAGGGCTGGCCTGTGGCCCCAATGACCCGAGGTCTGTCCTCATGTAAAGCGCCTTCTGGAGCCTGGGAGCCGGGGACGTGGGGGCACTGCGGGCAGCTGAGAGCAAGCCCCGGAGCGCCCCCAAATGCAGCAGGAAGAGGGGGCGACAGAACCGAGGACGGGGAGCCAATCCAGGGGGAGGTGACTGCTTTGTGGACTGCTTTTGGAGCGTGACTTTCTCCCTTATTTTTGGAAATCTTATTTTCTTGTAATTCTTATTAGATCTTTTTTCCTTACAGATAGAAATACATCTTTTCGGTTTCTAGTTTTTATTCCATGTCACTGTTGTGTCTTTTTCTTCTGTTAACTACACAGGCAGGGCATGCAGCTACTTGTGTGCAGAGATAGGAAGTTAATACTCAATCTGGAAAGGCAAGGCACGTCATGTGATAGAAAATTCCGTGCAAATTAGGAAACGTGGAATTTTTTTAAGTTTTTTTTTTTTGTAGCCTTTTTTTTTCCTTTTTTTTTTTTTAAGAGGGGGGATGGTGGAGGGGAAGGGGACAAGAGGGAGACAGAGCCAAGTATTAACTGCCATGCACATCTCATTAGCGGCCAGCTGACGGTCGGAGCCAGGTCGAACTGTTCCTGGCGAAGCACCATGCAGTTACAGAGAGAGATGGTTCATCTGGGGGCCATTAGGCTCCCGAGCGCGGCACCCCCTCCTCGCCTCCCCAGCACCCTAAGGTTCCTGGCCAAGAAGGTTCCGGATAACCCAACCATACAGCCCCATGCCGCTGCCGAGGCCCACGTTTGGTCCCCAGTAGGCCGCCACCCGCTGGAGGGGCCCTGAGGACGGACGGACGGACAAACGGGTGGACAGACGGATGGACCAAGGGTTCCCGGCCTGAGGATGGCAAACCTTGGGCCGGGGGGGGGGCTGCTGGGGAGGAGCCTGGGGTCTTTCTCTTTCCAGCTGGGGTTGGCCAAGCCCCTGGGGCTGGTCTGGGAGGAGAGAGAGTTGGTCTGCAGGGCGGGGCCCCCAGAGTCGAGAGCGAGTGGGAGATGGGGGCCCTGACCCTGGGGATGGCTTTGGCCTTGACTCAAGTGGGGGGAGGGATCCCCTTAGCGCCAGGCATGAAGAGGTCAGTGGGGCTAGGATGGATGGCCAGGGAGGGATCCCTAAAACACCTGCAACTCCCCAAGCCCCCCACCCAAGACAGAGACCTGGGGTGGTGGTGGCTGGGAGTGGGCCCCGGGGTGTCCCCAGCTTAGTGTTTTCGGAGCGGCTCAACGGAAAAATGCTTAGCAGATGGGCGCCCCCCCACACACACACCGACTGCCCCCTCCCTGTCAGAGCCCCTGCTGACCAAGCCCACCCCACTCTCACCTCCTCCCAGAAGCCACCAAGGAAGAGGAACGTGCAAACCAAGGTCCCCTCGGGGCTGGGAGGCACCAGGGGCGGTCACTCCAGGTTGTAAGGCACTGGCGGGGGTAGAGGGGTCCCAGGGACGGGGGGGAGCACCGGCATCCCCAGGACCCCCGTGTCCCAGCAGGGCAGGATGCTGCTGGCGGGGACACACTCAGCTCTGTCCTCTGGACCCTCTCAGGGGTTCCATCTCCAGGCTTGTGGGGGGCACAGCAATGAGGGGGTCCACGACTGGAGGTGACTGGGCTGTGGGGGGGGGAGGCCACCACGGCCACTCGGTCCTAGCTGGACAGAGGGGGCGGGCGGCGGGGATCAGGCACTTAGAGCCACTTGCTCCTCTCCCCTCCCACCTCCACAGCTGGGGGGGTGTCCCCTCCCAGGCCGGGCACACGAGGGTCCCAACGGCGCCCCCCCAGGACCTCTGGGTCCCCCAGGCCCACCTCCCTAGAAAGTGCATTTCTACGACAACTGTGTGCAACGTCACGCCCCCCACCCCAGCAGAGTGGGGGGGCGGGGAGCCTCCGATGTCAGGGGTGCTGGGGGGGGTTAATTGCATAGAGACTTCTCCTCCCAAACCTGCCGGGGGCGCGAGGGCTGAAAGACCAAGTCCCGAGAGCACGCTTCGGGAGTGGGGGGGCATGGGGGGCATGAGGGGGCAGCCTTCGGCCGAACGAGACACCCCAGGGACTCAGCTGTCCAGCGCACCCCTGCCACCTCCCTGCTCATCTCGGCTGCCACCTGTGTCTTAGCTGTCCCTTGCTGGGGACCCCCACACGCACCTGCACCCCCCTCTTTGGCAAATACCATGGTGGGGGGGCCTGCTTGACCGTTCTGTGGAGGCTGGGGGCAGAGGCCTGCTGGGTGTCCGCTGGTCGCCCCTGGCTTGCTCACCTGTCTCTGGGCGGGCAGGCCTGGGGTGGTGCCCTGGTGGAGGCGGCGGGGGGTGGGCGTCTGTCCTTCCAAGCAGCAGGAGGCCAGGAGATGAATAACTTAGGAAGACGTGCCCGCCCGCAGGCCCTGTGCACCCGGGTAGATGGGGCGAGGCTGGAGCGCTGCTGTCTTTACCTTTTGCCTTCCTGGGTGGGTGGGGGGTTGGTTTTTTTTTTTTCCTCTTTTGTTCCTGTTTATCTTTTTTGTTTTGTTTTGTTTTTTTTCCTTTTTTTCAAAAGTTTTCCTCTTCTCTGTATGTGTCTGTGTTTTGCCTTTTCACCTTTTCGGCCAGCCTGGGAGTCAGCGGGGCAGCCTCCTTCGCTCTAACCTTCCACCGGAAACGCAGGCCGTGCCGGCTGGGCTGTCCTCCAGGAGTCCTGGGCCGAAGGAGGAAGGGCATGGGAAGGGGACCTGGGTTATCCCAGATACCAGGACTGGGTGGCCGGCAGACAGAGAGAGAAAACGAGAGAGAAGGGGATGGGGGTGGTCAGGCTCTGCATTGACCCTGCTCCCCACTTCCCACCCCCACCATGACCCTACCCACTGCCCCTCCCTATGACCTCTGTCTCCCCGATCCCAGACCTGGGTGACCCTGGCCACAGTGACTTTGCCCCTGAGTGGGACTGTTGGATAAAATGCACGAAGCCCGCCCACTGAGATCTGAACGTCAGATAACCACTGGGTAATAATTGGTTTTTAGCATAAGTGTGTCCCACACAACATGTGGGGTGTACTTATACTGATTTTTTTTTTTTGCCTATCTGGAATTCAAATTTTACTGGAAAACTCACAGCCGTCGAGTCTGGAAGTCCTGTATTTTTATTTTTTATATGTTGTTGTTGTTATGTGCCGTCGAGTCAGTCCTGACTCATAGCAACCCCTCCTTGGGTTTCCGAGGCAGTATCACTATGGAAGTAGACTGCCCCATCTTCTTTCCAGGGAGTAGCTGGTGGGTTTGAACTGCCAGCTTTCTGGTTAGCAGTCAAGTGCCTTAGGCACCACGCTACCGGAGCTCCTATTATACATTTCTTATATAAGTTATTTATTTTTTTGTTGAGAATATCCACGGCAAAACACACACCAACTGCACAAGTTGGTGACAGTGGTGGTGTTCTTCCAGCTGTGCGACCACGCTCACCCTCCTTTTCCGAGTTGTTCCTCCCCCATGAACATCACCTCACCGCCCCCTGAGCTTCCTGTCTGAACTGCCGTCACTTTGATCCCACAGAGCTAGTTCTTAAAAGAGCGCGGTGCTCAAAGCAGGACAGCCGTCACTAGTTGATCTGAACAACTGTTTGGTTATAAGACTTCAGAGGGCAGTTTTGGTTTAAGGTTTAACTGTTCAGTGTTTTCATCTGTGATACAGAGCAACGTGATCTCAGAACCCCGTGGCCTGACTGTGAAATGGGGGTGAGGGGAGGGTTTCACTGGTGAACAAGTATGCCCCACCTTCCCACCCGTGTATGGAGGGAGATCAGGGAGACTTTATGGAGTACCCTGTACCCCAGTGCTGTGATCTGTTTTTGTTCAGTTCCGAAAAACATTTTTCCATCTAATTAAAAGAGGGGCTATGACCCTATATTTTGTGGTGGAAAAAACCAGGGCTCAGAGAAGTTCAGTAACTTGCCCAAGGTCACCAGCATGGACTTGGTGGGAGCAGGGATTAGAACTCTGATCCGCGGGGCTCCAGTCTCTCCTGACAGTCCAGGGCCCTGCCGTGTCACACAGCTGGGATGGGTCCCTGGACACAAAGAACCTAATAAAAGGACCCACGGCCATCAAGCCGAATCTCCCTCCCAGTGCCCCGACGGAGTACAACTGCCAGGCACAGCGGCTGGAGAGTTCCAACCACTGACCTGGTTAGCAGCTGAGTGCTGGGCCACCGCACCACCGGGGCTCCTCTCAATAAAGAAACCGAGGGTGGCTTTCCACTTGGCCCATGGGTGCTGTGTCCTGTCAGCCCCATTTGACAGAGGGAGGAAGGGGGGCTGCACGGACGGCCGAGCAGGCTAGGGTCTCCCACCAGGTCCCAATTCACAGGCTGGGGTGGGGGCTCCCTGAAGAGAAACGGCTGGTCTCTGTGTCCCCACCGGTGGCTTTGGCTGCTCCGACAGGGGAGACTGCCCTCCCGCCTTACAAAGACCTGATACCGCAGGGCCGGCCCCGGCCCCCAGCTCCTGCCTTAAATCAATCCCTCTCCAACCAGGCGGCCCTGCAGGCAGCCGCTGGGCCAGCCCATTCAACTGGCGCCGGCGTTCCCAGCGCCCCCCCCCCAACTCCAGCCAAGTTCAAGTTCATCTTGGCCATTACCTCATGTCTGGTTTCCGTTGGCAACCAGACAGACTCTGGGCGTGACCCACCCCTGTGGTGGACGGCCTCCCCTCGGCCTTTCCTCTCCCCTCCCTCTCTGGCCTCCTCCGGGCCCTGGCCTCTGTCTGCGTGTGGGGGCGGGGGGCGGGCGCCACACCCTCTACGGCTGCCCGCGGGTCCACACCGAGGCAGCGCTGCTGGGGCTGAGCGCCCCCTGGCGCTCAGAGTCAGCAGTGCGGCTCCAGGCGTGTGGCTTAACTCCTCTGGCCCTCGGTTTACGCAGCTACTGAGGGGTGTGGTGAGCTGGGGGCGGGGGGGTGACCAAAAGGAGGGGGGACCTTGATCAGGGGGAGGTCATTGATTAGTGGAGGGGACACTGATTAGGGAAAGGGACATTGATCAAGGGGAGGAAACATTGATTAGGGAAGAAGGGAGGGCCGCTGATGGGGGTTGGGGAGGGCGAGGGAGGCGCGTCGAGAGGGAGCGTGGCCGTTGCAGGCTGGGGGAGCGGGGGCGGAAGGGGGCAGAGAGATGCAAACCCGCCAGGAATCATTAAGGCGGAGGCAGAAGTGCTGACTGGGCCAAAATCGGAAACTAGACGAGAGGCCTCCAGCTCCCGGAGCAGGGGCTCCGAGAGGGAGCGGCGGCTTCCTCCTGCCTCCCTCCCTCGCTTCAGGGCCCACCAGGGGCTGCGGTTGGCGCTGGGCAGTGGCAGCGGGGTCCGCCCCAGACTCCCTTCCTGAGACCTACATGGGGCACCTGGCCTCCTCCCCATGCGTGCTCCCATGGGAGTCTGTTGCCAGTCCGGGTCTCCCTCTCCCGGCCAACACCAGCCTCAGGAAGCTCTGTCCAACTCCCAACACTGCTTCCTTGCTCTATAGCCTTGGGTGGCTCCCCATCACCCCAGGACACAGCTTGTGTCCACCATCCCAACATTCAGGGTCCCAACATTAAGGACGGTCCCTCATTTCACACTGCACCCCGTTTCTGCCTGGGCTGGGTTCTAACAGGCCCTCTTCTGCAGCCACCCCTGCCCCAGGTGGTGTCCCAGATCCCCTCTCCCCGGGCTGGGTCTCACGCTGTAAGTCTACCTCTGAGAAGCCAGGAGACCTCAGTCCCACCCCCACCCCCACCCTCAGGCCTCCTGTTCAGGGTGTGGGTTGGGGTGAGCACAGCTTGGAGCAGGGATTCCCTGGGCCCTGGCTAGAGCGTTGGGCCCCAGTGTCATCAGAGGCAGAGGCGGTCAGCAGACAGCCAGAGAAAGGCTAATCGCTGGGCCTCTCCTTGGGTTTTTATTAGCTTAGGTTTCTGCAGCAATTAGGGCATTCCCAGCCTCCTGCAGGAAGGGAAGCAGGGGGTGGTGGGGTTGGGAAGGAAGTTCCAGCTCTGTGAGCGGCTGGGTGGGGGCCGTCACACCCTGGGACTTGGAGAAGGCGGCACGTGGTGGTCCCGGGGACTCAGGGCTCAGCAGGTGATCCTGACAAGTGGCTCTCCCCAGGGGCCCCAGGCCTCCCCGAGGCAGGCGTTTAGGATTGGGGTGTATGTGGGGGTGGCACCTGTCCTGGGTAGAGACAGTCCCCTGACACTCTGGGCCCTTCCCAAGGCTCCCTGGAAGTGACCGTGAGTGGAGCGGGGAGGCCTAGCTGAAGTCAGACTGAGCCCTGGTGGTCCAATACTGGTCTCCCTCTAGCCTGTGGGAACAGACGAACGTCTCAGCTGCCTCCGGGGCGGGGTTTATGAGAAGGATGAGGGCCTGGAGGAGTGAAGAGGCTCCCAGGCGACTCCATGGGGGGCCCTGGAAGGGAGGGAGGGGGCCAGCCAAGCCTGTGGCCACACTCTGGCAATGGCCCCCTGCAAGGTGCAGCAGAAACCAGGATAGCAGCAGAGACTCCCCAGGGGGCCGGGGTGCAACTGAGGCTTGCGGGGGGGGAGGTGCGCTCCCCACTCTAGCTCTTGTGATCTGATCTCTGAGCTTCAGGGCCTGGGGGGAGGCCCCTCCCCTACACACACACTGACTGGGGGACCTGGGGGCTGGCAGGAAGGCACACAGCAGTTAGCACAGTCCTGTCACCCATGCCCTCGTGGACTCCCAAATTCTGGGTTCCCAGGACCCCGCCCAGGCAACCCGCTGCTCCTCCCTGAGCCGCCTCTGTCAGCCCCATCTACCTCTCAGGGTCTGGGCCGGACCCCCAACACGGGTGCACAGGGTCACAGCCGTACCACTCCACCCTGTCTGTCCAGCCCCTCCACCCCCACCCCTCACACCTGATTGATGCTAGGCTAGAGCCTGTGGTGGGGGCATGGACTGTGTGTCGGGAGACCGTGCCCCTGGCTGCAGGCTGCCTCAGTTTCCCCACCTGCCCTGGGCTGACTCTGGCTGGGAGCTACCCCTCCTTCTCTTGGTTGTTCCTCTAGGCCAGTGGTGGCGCAGGTGGCACTGATGCTAGTTAAGGGAACCAAGGCTGGGGGCGTTGAAGGCTTGGGCTGACCCGGTGCTGTGTGACCCTGGGCAGATTCCTTGGCTTCTCCAGGCCTCAGTTTTCCCATCTGTATAAACGGGTTGTAATGACCCTGGGCCCCAGGCTCTGCCATCCACCATGGAAGTGGTAGGCGGGGTTTGGACTATTTCATATTCAGGGGTGTGGTGGCCAAGGTCCTGGACCAGGGCCATAGCAGGCTGCCCTGAGCTTCCAAAAGAAGCTGCGTAGGGGCTCAGCCTGGTACCCTCAACCATGCTTGATCAACAGCCCTGCACCAGGGATGTGACTGCAGGGTGCTCTGGGGGATGCAGCAAGGGGTCGGTTTCTCCCTGTGCCCCAGGGCCAGCCCCTCTGCCCCCCGCCCCCCAGCAGCTGGCCTCTTGGCCCCTACCTGTGCCTGATAAGTGCCCGCTGGCTCCCTCGGTCCTAATCCCATAAAGGAACGGTTTGCAGGGGACGTGCCGGGCGTAGAGTAGGCTGCGGGGAGGAGAGAGACCGAGAGCCCATTAGCGAGGGGTGGGCACAGGGGCAGGGGCTGCCCCAGGCCCAGAGTAGATGGCCGTTGTCTGGGGTCACACAGCTGGGCCTCTGCCCCAACTCATGGCCAATGGGGTGCCCCGGAAAGCCCACCGTCTTGGGGATCCTGTCTGGTGAGTGCCTTGGGGTCACAGCTCTGCCTGCCGGTGCCGGTGGGCTGAGCGCTTGGCCATGAGGAAACTGCCCTTGGATTATTTAGTGTCTTCCCCTGCCGGGCCCATCCCGTGCCCTGGCCTGCAGCGGCCTGGCGGGGCGAGTGAATTATTGAAGGCGTTTTATTTATTAATCTCCCTCCTGGAGCCGGCAGGTGGAGGGCTGGGATGTTTGCATACAGGGATGTATATTTTAACCGCCCGATTACATTTTGCTGGCCGGTAAATAATTCATGGCCCAGGGATGCCTTGGGAGAGGTGGGAGCCTTCAGCGGCAGGGTGCGGGTGGAGAGGGAGGTGGGCACAGGCTGGGGGGGCGCACGGGCAGGGAGGCATGTGGTTTTGGCCAGGGTGGGGGATGGTAAATGGCAGACTCAGGGTGGAAAGCACCCTGGTGCAGGGGACAGGGAGGGAGTCCGTGTCCATTCCGTGCCTATTAAGGGACTACCAGACACCAACTCATAACAACCCCTCCCTGGGTTTCCGAGGTGGTATCACTAAGGAAGCAGATTGACCAACCTTCCTTCTGAGGAGGGGCTGGTGGCTTTGAACCGCCAGCCTTCTGGTCAGCAGTCAAATGCCTGAGGCACTGCGCCACCAGAACTCTCTTTGTCTTTGTTTGGTTTTTAGACGCCAGGCACTGAGCACAATCTCACCGTATCCTCAACAGACCCCACAAAGTGAGCAGAGGCATTATCCCTGTTTTACTGATGACAAAGTCAAGTCCACAACCAGCACTGAATATGCCTCTACTCTGCCCGATGCCACCCCCGAATGTTCACATGGTTTGGCTCACTGACTCGCCCACTCCTGGTCACCTAACAAGGCCAGTACTGTGACCATCCCATTTTGAAGCTGAGAAAATGGAAGCCCAGAGAGGGAAAGGCATTTGCCCAGGGTCACACAGAGAAGGGGCTGCAGAGGCAGGAGTCGAACCCAGGGCCTGTTCCGGAGCTGGCCTTCTTGCAGGGCCTGCCTTTCAGCATGGGAAGCCTGGCGGTGGAAAGGGTGGGCCAAGTTCTTTGAGGTTTGGAAGGTCCTGGGGCTCAATACACAGGGGTGCTGGTGGGCTGCTGCTTGGGGGGAAGGGGGTACAGTCTAGCTGGAAACTGTGGGCCCCTCCCCATTAGGGAGGGTGAGGCATCTTATTTGGAGGGTCCATAGAGGGAAGGGTGAGAGGCAGATTGAGATGAGGGGAGAGGCTGGGGGGGTTCTGAGACCACCGGGGCCACTACTGAACGTGGTCTCAGAACGCTGGGCGTCAGGGAGATGGGACACTTCAGTGTTGGCCACGGAAGGGAGAGGGGGGCAGGGCCACTGTGGATGGGGCTCCCAGGAACTGCAGCTCAGCCTTGGATGAGAGGGAAGGTGAGGGACCACCAGCTGCTACCTAGAGCCACGTCCAGAAAGGTCTGGAAGGAGAGGCCACCAACCCAGGGTCATGTGGACATGTGGGGACTGTCCCGTCTGAAGGAGAAGTGCAGCCCCACCCTGTGTCGCTGGTGGGGACAAGGTCCTGAGTGCCACACTCTCCCCAAGAAGCCGGAACCCTGGATATATTTTGGCACATCCTGATTTTAAAACAGTCATAAAAATCACTCAGTTTATAGACAAAATGCACCCGGGGACTGAGTTTGGCCTTCGGGGCTGCAGGTTTGAGACCTGGTTGTTCATAGCACCACGGAGTGGCTGGGGCCGACCCGTCACTCGTCTTGCTGCTCCCTAAGGCTGCCTCGGCCCGCAGGGGCCTAACCGTGTGGCCCAGGGCCACTTCTGGAGACCCACCAAGCTCGCCAGTACCTGCGGTGCTGGGCCTGAGGGCCCGAGCCCACCAGGCAGGGGCCCTCGCGGGGACGCCCGCCCCACCTCGGGCACCGCTCCCGGCGTGCTTACTGGGCGAGGTTGGCGTCGTGGCTCCTGCCTCGGAGGTGGTGGTGGGTTTGGCGGTGGGGGGGAGTGCCAGCCTCGGCAGCCCGGGGGGCAGCGGAGCCAGCATCTGGGCGGAAATGCAGTGGCTGGATATTTTGAGCTGACCACTTCCATTTAACTGGGGGGAACAGAGAGACACGTGGTTAAGGGGAGAGCGCCCCTCACGCCTGGGGCTGCTGGCACTGGCTGGGCTGCTCCTGGCTCTGGGTGTGGCCCTGCTGGGGTGGGGGGCCAAGGCACCAGCCTGGCAGGGATGAGCTTGGTGGGTCTCAGATCGGCCGGAGGCAGGGTGGTAATGGACACCTGGTCCCCGGGCAGGCACCCAATATCACACTCTTACGACTTGGTCGCCGTCAAGTCGATCCTGACTCACAGTGACAGCATACGTGTCATAGCAGATTTCTTTCTCCTCCACGGCACATAACAACAATTGGGTTTTCAATGGCTGTATTTTTGCAGGTCAATTACCAAGACTTTCTTCCAAGGCACCTCTGGGAACTCGAGCTGTGACCCTTTCAGCGAGCAGCCAAGGTCATCTGTCATTTGCACCCCCAGGGACCGAACTACCAAGGGCCTGGCCTGCTCCTTAAGCTGCCTGCACTGACCCCTGCTTGCTGAAGGACATCACCGCACCCTAACTAAGCAGCATCACACCCTCAAGGGCATTTGCCCGTTCTTCCTAACGTACTGCTGGTGCAAACTGGCCACAACCTTGCCCACGATTCCACCCTCAAAGATCTCTGAACGCCACAAGTTTCTTTGTGCAAAGTTTGTCAAAGTGATGTTTACAGCTGGTTTCTACCTGTCCGTGTTTACAGCCCGGTGCGTCGCCGCATTTGAAGCAGGCTTCCTGCCTGTTCACTTGGTTCAGCCCTCTGCTGACAATTTGCATGTCCAGCTCCACCCAGTACCATCAGTTGATTCTGACCCACAGCGCCCCTAGAGGACAGAGTGGAACTGTCCCACAGGGTTTCCAAGGCTGTCAATCTTCACGGAAGCAAAACGAAGAAACACGCTGCTGTTGAGTCGGTCTGACTCATAGCGACCCCTCCTTGCGTTTCCGAGGCGGTATCACTATAGAAGTAGATTGCCCAACCTTCCTTCCTAGGAGTGGCTGGTGGGTTTGAACTGCCAGCCTTCTGGTTAGCAGTCAAGTGCCTTAGGCACTATGCCACCAACCAAACCACTATGCCCAAACCAAACCCAATAGAGTCCACTCACAGTGCCGCTAGAGGACAGAGTGGAACTGTCCCATAGAGTTTGCAAGGCTGTCAATCTTCACGGAAGCAGACAGCCTCATCTTTCTTCCATGGGGTAGCTGGTGGGTTTGAACCACCGACTTTTTTGGGAAGCAGCCCCAAGCTTTAACCACAGTGCCAGCAGAGCTCCTCACGGCCAGCCCAGAGCTATGAATCAGAAGGTACATTTCAACGGGATCCCCAGGTGATTCTACATACGCATGAAACGTAGATTCTAATTCCGTTATCTCTTGGCGGAAATGCAAATTCTCGGCGGGGACTCAAACCAGAACGAACAGGTTCAAAGCCCTGGCTTGAGGACAGGGTGCCGCCCCTGGTCCCACTGAAGCGGGCTATGACACGTTGCTGTTTTTAGCTGCCGTCAGGTTCCTCCTGACTCATGGCGACCCCACGCAGAACAGAACAAAACGCTGCCCTGGTCCTGGGCCGTCCCTGCGGTTGGCGGCAGAGTGAACACTGGAGCCATGGGGTTCTTGGCTGCCCTTCGCCAGTCTGTCGCCAAGCCCAGCGTCCTGTCTCTCTTGGAGCGCTACTGAAACGTGTTCAGTGTCCTGCAACACCCAGCCTCCAAGGACAGACAGGTGCGGGCAGCACAGGAGGTGCACTGGCCAGGGTCCAACCCAGGTCTCCCGCGTGGAGCGGGAGCTCTACCACAGAACCGCTACTGGCTCGTGGTGGAACACAGGTGCTGTGTGTTCTGAAAAGTGAGGAAGTCTGAATTTGGACTCCAAGGGACTATGAACCCAAGGTCACAAAACCTTTCAAGCAAAAGCAGCACGTTCAAGATGGCCCCGTGATGGCCTCTGCTCTGACGGACAAGCCCCATGGCCCGACGGTGTGAGGCCAGGACCCAGGGAGGGCACGGTGTCACCGGGAGCCACAGGGTGGCGACAACAGGCCCTGTCCCCACCCGACTCACCGGTCCAGGCTGCTGGCTGGCCGGGTCACAGGCCAGCGAGACGAGATCTTTGAGCGGGTCCTGGGGGTTGAGATGAGGCGGGTAGCGGATGGCCGTGTGAGGGAAGTAGGTAGAGGCCGTCTGGGGCAGGATGGACGTCGTGGGGAAGTGCAGGGCCGAGGACGGGTGAGGGCTCCGGGCGATTCCTGTGCACATGGAGGGGGCAGGTCAGCGGGGGCTTTGGCCAGGCCCCGTGGGGCATGGTGGGTGAAGTTCTCCGTGTGTGCCTGTAACTGTGGGTTTGTGTCTGCCTACATGGGGGTGGGTCATATGAGTGTTTGTAACGACCAAATGACAATGTTGTTATTGTGTGCTACAGTCGATTCTGACTTAGCCTAGAGGACAGAGTGGAACTGCCCCATAGGGTTTCCAAGGCTGTCAGTGTTTACAGAAGCAAAGCCCAAATCAAACCCACTGCTGTGGAGTTGATTCCGACTCACAGCGCCCCTAGAGGACAGAGTGGAACTGCCCCACAGGATCTCCAAGGCTGTCAATCTTTACAGAAGCAGACTGTCTGTCTCATCTCTCTCCCACGGAACAGCTGGTGAGTTCGAACTGCTGACCTTTGGGTTAGCAGCTAAGTGATTAACCGTTTCACTACCAGAGCTCCTTAATATTAACAACAGTACCTATCAAGTCCAGGCATGGTTGTAATTTGCATGTTCCCCACTCAATGACCCCACAAGAGCCCCATGGGGTTCTGGGATCATCCCTGCCTTTCTTTTTTCTTTAATTAATGGAAGGTAAGAGAGAGGGCCTCTGAGGTGATGCCTCTGAATTAGGTGGGAGACTGGGATTCGAACCCAGGCTGTCAGCTCGGGGGCTGGGAAACCCTTCAGAAAGGGCTGAGAGGAGATAATTTTCAGAGACTCAGAAATGATTCACATACTAAAATTCACCCCGTTGAAGTATACAATTCAGTGTTCAGTCCTTTCAGGGCTGGGCGACCTTCGTCACAGTGTAGCTCCAGAAGGTTCTCATCACCCTAAGATGGACCCTGGGCCCTCAAGCGCTCTCCCCCCTCCCCCAGCCCGTCTGTGTGATCTGCCCCCTTGGGATACGTCCGGTAAGTGCAATCACGCTTTTCATGTCTGGCTTCCTCACTGAGCATCACGTTTCTAAGACCCATCCGTGTCAAAGCACATATCAGACGTCAATTTCTCTTTACAGCTGAATAATATTCTGTAGCACTGTTTTTTTCCTCATGTTCTCAGTTTTTACACCATTCAGTGATTCTCAGTATATTCTTGTTATATTTTACTATAAAGCAAAAAGACCCACTGTCATCGAGTCAATTCTGCCTCATAGGGACTCCCACCGGGTTTCCAAGGAGGTAAATCTTTACAGAAGTGGGTCACCCCATCTTCATTCCACAGAGCTGCTAGTGAGTTTGTACCGCCAACCTTCTGGTTAGCAGTCGAATGCCTTAGGCACTGCACCCCCCCAGAGCTCTTACATTTTAGTATATCACTATGGAGTTCCAGAACATTTTCATCATTCTGGAAAGAAACCCTGTGCCCATTAGGAGTCACTCCCCATTACCCCAAACCTCCAGATGCTGGCCAGATAGTAAATACCTTCGGCTTCATAGACTATACCATCTCTGCTGCAACTACTCAGGTCTGCTATTGTACCATGAAAGCCGCCACAAATATACGTCAAGAAATGGGTGTGGCCACCTATCAGCCAAACTTTATTTACAAGCACAGGCAGAGAGGCAGATTTGGCCTGTGGGCCGTGGCTTGCTGATCCCTGATCTAAACCACTAAGTTCTGTCCAGTTTTGCCTGCTCCCCCTCTGTGGCTCTGCAGCCTTGTATGGAACCGAATCACCATCAACATCAGAATGGGATAAAGAGCGGCATCCCAGCCGGGTGTACTGTGACCGTCTTTGGTCAAGGTCCTGGAGTCTGTCTCCATCTGTGCGTCTGTGTGACCACCCACGTATTGCTTGTGTGGCCCTATGTCCTCTGTGTGTGCCTGGACACTCGCTGGGCGTATCTATGAAGCCCTATGCTGTCAGGAGTCTCTCACATGTGACACTGTGGACCCCTTGCTTCTGGAACATGTGTGCCCCGGGGAAGGCCTCTCCCACGTCTGACCTCTCCTGTCTGAGTCCTGGCTCCTTCTTGTATAGAGGCCCAGAGAGACTGGGGAGCCCTTCCCAGCTAGGGCTGGGACCAGGCCCTGGTGCTCTCCATGGCCCCTCTAGGTTTTCTGAGTTGGCCAGGAGCTCAACAGTGAGGCTCGAGGTCAGACAGCTGGTGGGACTTCCGTAGCCATGAGGCCTGCTCACTCACCGCTGTGCACGGCGATGACGGGCCGGTGGTGCTGCGTGAAGCTGGAGAGGCGAGGCGAGTCCTGGGGCGAGGGGCTGTTGAACGGGGACTTGTCCATCTCGGTCTTCTTCACTGGGGACGAGATGCCTGTGTGGGCAGGGTACAAGGGTCACAGAGCATCAGGGGCAGGGGGCCACCTTCCTCCCACAGCACTCTGGGTGCCCGTCCTGGCCCCAGGTCTCACCCACCACCCTCTTGCTCCAAAAAACCCAAAGCCTGCTGTCACGGAGTCAATCCTGCCTCATGGCAAAACCGTATGTGGCCAAGCAGAACCACCCCATGGGGCTTTCTTGGCTGTAATCCTTATAGGAGCAGATTGCCAGGCCTTCCTTCTGCAGCATCACTGACCAGGCTTGAACCGTCAACCTGTAGGCTAGTACACTCACACTCACTGCCATCGAGTCAAAGCCGACTCATAGCGACCCCTCCTGGGGTTTCCGAGGCAGTATTACTATGGAAGTAGATTGCCCAACCTTCCTTCCAAGGAGTGGCTGATGGGTTTGAACCATCAGCCTCTGGTTAGCAGTCAAATGCCTTAGGCACTACACCATCAGAGCTCCCTTTAGGCTAGTAGTCAAGTGCAAACCACTTACACCACCCAGGGACCTTGCTCAGTACCTCCTCCTTCTGCCCCAGACCCTCTCAGGACTCAGGACCCCTGGACCTCCCTGCTGCCCAGCATCCAAAGGGTTAGTATTGGGCCCAGGGGAAGGGGTAAACTTTACGGCCATCCTCCTGCCTCTCCTCTCAGCAGCCTTTGAGTAGGGGGGCCAGGTGCCCACTTTACAGAGGGGCAAATCAAGGCCTGTGGTACAGTGAATTACTTAGTCTTGTGGTGCCCACCAGATGACTGTGTGGAACATGTAAATGTGAGGTGTTTTGTGGCCCACCAAGGGGATCATACAGTTTTTTGCTAATAAATTGCACCCTTGTGGGGGTTGTTGTTGTGTTGTTATGTGCTGTCGAGTCGGACCCAACTCATAGTGACCCCTCCTTGGGTTTCCGAAGCAGTATCACTACAGAAGTAGATTGCCCCATCTTCCTTCCGAGGAGTGGCTGGTGGGTTTGAACCGCCAGGCTTCTGGTTAGCAGTCAAGTGCCTTAGGCATTACACTACCAGAGCTCCCGCAAATAAGGTATATGGAACTGTAATGTGGGGATTGGTCAGTTTTGCCATTCACTAGGCTTAAATGAGCCTTTTCAGAGGCGGAGAGGGGGATCGCCCTGCCATCAAGAAAGAAGAGCCAGGACTGGAGCGCGTCCTTGAACGAACCCAAGATTCCTGCACTGAGACAGAAGAGAGACCCACAGAGAGATGGTGGCAGCAGAACCGAGAGACCAGCCCCCGGAGGGAGAAAGCTGAGCGTCTGTGGGCAGGGGCCTTGCTGGCAGAGTGGCTGCCCTGTTGGCAGAGCTAAAGAGCTTTGTAACACTGCCTGGTCAGCCTGAGAGACCAAGGGCCAGAGAGGGGCATGCCTGAGGGCATGGCCGAGGGGAGGCTGTCCTGATGGAAGAATTGTACCCTGAGCACGTTCTTGAACCTGAATTATAACCTGTTATTTCCCTAATAAACCCATAATCGTGAGCATTGTCTGTGAGTTCTGTGTGGCCACTGAAACGAAATTATGGAACCTAGAAGAGTAGAGAGCGTTGTAGGCAGGCCGGTGGTGTCAGAATCGGTGGGAGGGCTAGAGTGGTGGTGGTGGGGGCAGCGCACAGGGTCAGAGTCCCGCCTCACAGCAATCACCCTTGAGCCGCCGCTGTGGTCTTGGACCCCCGCCCCTCACGAAGTTGGAGGTCAGAAGGTGCTGTCCTCCCCGACCTTTCTGTTCCAGCACAGAAGGGGCTGTTGCGACACGTGGCCATGGGAGGGGGAGCCAGCTGTTCATACCGGGGGCCCCCACCTTCTCTCCTGCCAGGGAACAGGGGCAGCTCAGAGCTCCCTGTCCCCAGGGCAGTGGCACTCGGGCACCCACGTGTGGGGCTGGACAGGTGACAGAGTCCAAGTGTCCCTCGCTGACTGTCTGAATAGGTGGGGAACGTTCTAGAAGGTCTGGCCAGCTGGGCCTGGAGGCTGAGCAGCCCACTCGGACATTGTCCGCTGGGCCCACCCAGCTCAGCCTGGGCAGCCAGGGCCCAGCTTTCCCAGGAACTAGGGAGCTGGTGGGGAGAGAGAGGGAGGACATTGTATGTGTGTTTATGTGTGTGTATGTGTCTGTGACTGTATGAGAGTGGATGAGCACACGTCTCTGCACGTCAGCATGTGTGTGAACATGTCTGTGCATGTGCGTGTATGAGTGTGTCAGTGAGTACACATCTGTGTGCACACATGCACATGTATGAGTATGTGCACACGTGTATATGTGCTTGAGCATGTGTGAGTGTGGGGTGGTGGGAAC